ACTGTGTTACGTTAACCTCGCATTCAAAGTGATCTCACTGTTGGGGAACCTGTTACTTCTGGGATCAAGTTGCTCAGTAAGTCCAACATTATAATTTTCCTGTAACAAGAACACATATTCAGTATATAACTGAAAACTATTAGAGAAGATTTGAGATTGTGATAAAACTTTGTCATAGTGGATCATAATAATTCATCTTTTAGAAATGTTAAAACAAGGTGTAAGATTTTGCAACGGAGCTGGCTTTTCGACGCCACCCAGCATAATCATTGGTTTTGTTTCATTTAGCTGTTTCTGTTTTGTTCGTTCGTTCGTTTGTTTTTTTTTCTTTCATTGTTATGCATTATTTATCAGTATTTCAGTCTACCTCAGTTGTATTTTAGTTTCGGTGTTATCGTCGAAATAATTCGGTGCTCGGGGGATAATTGGTATCTACCTCACAGTTACAAAAAAAAAAAAAAAAAATGGCAAAAAATGATCGGAAATTGAACTCACGACGCGCGATTTTGTCTCGTCAGTTGCTTGCAGGTCATTAGTACTTATTATTCACTTCCGAACTAGCCAATCAGCGCGCAAGAATTCGAGTGTTCATGCAGCATTCATTGATTTGTTAGTATACTGTACTGATTGTTGTTCTTTTCCGTCGCAGGGTGACGCGCGCTTGGCATTTCCTTGGCTTGGATGGAGCATGTTCGAGCTCTTTTTCAATTTTGGAGTGATCGTATTTTTTATTATCGTCTGGAAAGGGGTAAATTGAAACAAAAATTTGTATTGAGTGTCAGAAGAAAAGTTTTGCACACAACTTACTGAACGTGATTTATGATTTATGCCACAGCTTGCCGTCTTCTTACTAATTTACGGCATTGGATGGCTGCTTTCGGTAAGTTTTGTTTCACTCTCACTTTACTCTCATTGGCTCTTAAAGATATTTTCCTTTCTTCTGATTGGCAGACAGGATTACTTTCGTTTTGGTTATGCAATCGAAAGGCGCTCCATTCTCCATTTCAATTAGCTTCTCACTCTTAAATTGAGGGTGGTTTGGGTCTAACCTTATTCCTCTTTTTCATTTCTTCCTTAAGATCTACTCCATCGTGGTGGTGTATTCGTACATCAAAGACCTTTGTCGAGATCCAATTCCACCGGGAAACAATGGACAGCAGGAACCACCCCGTGCAATTTCCACTGCTAAATTTCCATCAAAAACCCATCATCCATCGGGAACAAGTTCCGGATTTTCTTCCTCCTCTGACAGGCGGAAACCAAAGTCAAGTGGTAATTACATTTCCATTGTTTCAATGCTCCGTAAACTGCTAAACCAAATTCGCCAAATTTTACTGCGCAAAAATTCGCTCTGATACCACCTGCCAACGGACCAGCATTTCATCTATGAGAAATAGTGGTCGCTCTTCTTCAGCTACAGTGTTTTGACACTTACAGTTCCCTCGAGAAGTGCATCAAAATTTTTCCGACTACTTAATATGACCTCAGTACTCTGACATTTTAGTGTTACAAAAACTGAAAGCTGTCTTAACTGTATGCGTCAAGAAGACGTTTCTATCTAATCGTATGCATGCAGTCAGACGGTACTATTTAAGATTTTTTTAATCCCTGGCGAATTATTCAATTCTCTGAGAAGCAGTTGTGGTCTCTGGAGTTCACAGGCTCAAATGACCACTCTGTTATTCAGTTCATTTGATTTCCTCACTCATTAGCGCTCAGGCTCGGGCACAGGCACAGGCACAGGCGCGTGAGAACTAAGAGGATTAAACCAGCAGTTAGGCACTTGAGAAGGGATCAGTGGGCAATTACCTGCGCAAAAGTACCAGAGAAAACAAGTGAAACAACCGCTGTCAAGCAAAATATGCAAAACGTTCACAGAGATTTGCAAAACGAATAAAAATAGTCAAAAGGAAACCCAAGGGTTTTACCTATACTATTATTTTTAATTTTCCATTTATACAACAATATAATAAAAGGAGCCAAATTGAAAAGATTTATTGAAGTCCTTTTTCACATCATTTCGCAGGTTGGAAATGGACCCACTCTACATGGGTTGGGACCTCAGAAGGTTTTGGAGGGGGCTCGGCAGGCGTCTGTGTGAGCTCAGTAGATTGTGGAGGCGGTTGCTGACTCTCATGAAGGACCAGCTAATTCGAATTAAAGATAATTTTTTTTCGGATGGCAGAGTGGGACTAAGGAGACGGTCACTGTCTATCGCCTGTGGAGTGGGTGGGTGTGTTAGGGGAGAGGGGGGAGGGGGAAGGGAGGTATTGGCGGATTTTGGTTGTGTCACGATGAAATTTACCTGATTCTCTCTCCTATGGCTTTGTATTGTTGTTATGATCCCCTCATTGGCAGTCAGTTCCGTGTAGATGCCCCATTACACTCTATTGGGACGACTTAACCCCTCACCCCCCCATCTGTTGCCCCTAAAAACCACCTGGCCACCAAAAATCCTCGCAACTACACCCCCACCCCCCTCCCGCGACTAATAATGGCGGGAATTTATATTCGTAGAAGTTGATTTTGAAATGTTATTTGAAACATTTTTACTTATTACTATAGATATCGTCATGTTCATTTTCAAAATTATTGTAGCATTGTTCAGCCTATAATTGGTAGTATCATAGGAAATCTATTTTGGATTTTGATTGCTCATACTAGAATTCAAGTTAACGTGTAAAAACTCTGAAGTGTTTCAAAGAACTAGTTTCAGAGTTTAAGCTTAAAAAGTAACAAAATGTATTTTATAACCATTAGACGTAGTTCATGCAAAAAGAAAAAATACTGAATAGCGGACATGCCTATTAACATGTCAAAAGATTGGAATATTCAAAAAATTATTTATTTCTTTTTTTTAATTATGCATTTTTCTGTTTTTGAGACTCTCAGAAAAAAAATATTTAGGGCCTTCGAATGATTGAAATAAGGACCATTCATTGCAATCACAACTATTTGGAATAAAATTTTAATTCGAAAATTAAACTAAAATTATTTGACTAAAGGTCCCGCTTCTCTTTCAAACATATAATAACACGAGAAAATATCCTAAAATTAATTTCCGTATTTCTCTTTCTACTGCAATATAATGTGGTGTGTACCGACCATTCGTTTTCCAATTTCCCTTTTAATATATTTAATATGCGTCGGTTCTATCTTATTTTTTAATTGCCCTTCAAAGTTTCTTTTAGACAAACGATCTATCCTCAAAAGAAAGCCATTTTAGAAACTGCGACGGTCAATTTCTGGCGTTTGTAAGACAACATAAACAATAGAACCTTTAATTTTAGTCACCTCGTTGTATTCTGTAAGCGACAACTGACACCCTCCTCACTCTTAGTTCCGCATTGGAAAGCATAAGATTCTCCAAAATCTTCCTCACATTCTACTAGTTTCTCCTAGTTCTTAGAATACATTTTAGAATTTCACGCATCTGGAATCGGAAAGACATTTGTTTCCGCAACGCATAAATGATCTCCAATTGCATAATAAAACCTCCCACCGTAGTCTTTGCATATTACACGGAAATACCTTAAAATTATAAAGTGGAATTAGATTCCTAATAATTTCAAACAATATCTCATTGATGTCTCGTTATTGAAAAACATCTACAAACTATTTTCTCTTCCTTTCGCATCTGACAAGGACCTGAAGAAACTGCAACGGGTGATAAATATAAAGTAGCTATTATATGGTAGTAGTTTTTATATGGTTCCCTAGATCATTTTTTAAAAGCATGAAATAATCAGAAGATAACCTTAGCATTTTACATGAAAAAGAGCAGTGTGTTCGCAGAGGCCCTGCCATACAGTATGTCGAAGGAAAGTCAAACGGATAGCACCTCTCGGCATATGGGTGATTGGTTGAATTAATTCTGCCTTTCAATTTGTCTTTTAGCCGAAGGGTTAGACTCCGAGAAAATATATCTAAGTCCATGGAAAGTAAAGTGCTTGTCGGATTGTCTACTTTACTGCTTGTCTCACTTCTTTGATTTTCCAGCAGTAAAGAAATGGGTTCAAAGAGGTGTTAAGATACGTGTAATTCCATCGATAACGACTACATGTGAAGAATAATTTTTTTTCTGTGAGTTCATTTAGAAAATTTAAGAAGAAAAGAAGACCTACAATTTGCCTTCAGGTTGATATCACACTAGTGCCGATAAAACCAAAAATCGAATTAATTCTTTCCCAGAAGAAATTTCAGTCATGTAAAGACGGACTTCATTCTTTTTTTCGTGCAAAATACTAATTGTCTCCGTCCGTAAAAATAAAACTCCCACAAAATGTTTATGCAACACAAAAACAGTCTTGAAATTAATTCAAGTCACAATTACTTGAAATGCAAATTTAATTCGAAATTTAAATTTAAATTATTTTACTCTAGGTCTCGCATTTTTTGCAAACATATAATAACACGAGAAAATACCCTTTAAATTCCGCATTTCTCTTTTTCCGCATCCTAACTTGATGTGTACCGACTATTCGTTTCGAATTTTCCTTTTAATTTGTTCAATATGTGTCAATGTTATCTTATTTTTTCTTGCTCTTCAAATTTTCTTTCGTACAATAGCGCGTTGTTATTATATGGCTTACAAAATCAATTTCAAGAAGACAGCTTTATGATTTGGGAAGAAAACAAGCAGTGAGTTTGCAGAGGCCCCGCCATACAGTATATCTGAGGAAAGTCAAACAGATAGCACCTCTCGGCATCTGGTTGATATGTATTCTGCCTTTCAATTTTTCTTTCTACCGTCGGGGTTAGAATAATAAACAATGGTACTCTGTTTTTATGTGATATTTATCAGCATAAATACGCAAACACTAAAGCATCTAGAACACAGTAGATGCTGAAAAATCGTGTTTGTTTCATTCTATCTTTTTTTCTCTGTCCCTTCAAATTACGCCTGATTAATGCAAGTCTGACGACTCCGAGAAATTATATCTAACTCCATGGAAAGCAAAGTGCTTGTCGGATTGTCTGCTTTACTGCTTCCCTCACTTCTTTGATTTTCCAGCAGTAAAGAAACGGGTTCAAAGTGGAGTTAAAATACATTAAAGTATAGGCAATTCCATCGATAACGACTACATTTGAAGAATAAGTTTTGCTATACATCACAAGCAGCAGCGTCGTAAGTTTTGGTATAAAACAAACAACTAATGCTAACTGCACCCACAGTGCACTGCTCACTGCCTTTCGGTATCTTGCCACGTTTAGAGCAGTTGTTTGACTCGGCTGTTGTTGAACATGACCATGTACTTGAGACTGACGATGTCTTAGAACGCGAAAAATCTTTGTGTACGAGGCGACTGAGATCACTGAGCATGACGGTATAAGTATAATACAATACCAAGTCGTTATTCGAGAATGAGAAATGGAAAATGATCCAGTGGCGACGGGTAAAATCCAAAAAGTAGCTGTAATGATAAATGTGCGCTTTAGAGTTACTATTTGTCTGTATTTTATTCCTAACAACAGAGCGAGAAGTCTGTCCACGCTTATGGCCGTCAACGTCAACAAAGATACCCCGCATAGTGCAATACTTGATATGAAGACTGCACCCCTTGCGTATCGACAAAGACTCCAGTGTTCGTTAATCAAGGAAATCCAATAAGTAGCAATGAGAGGCTGGTTAACAACACCCACCAACAGATCAGCTGTAGCCAGACAACGATACAAGAGTTTGGACGGTGGATGAAGGAAAGATTCTTTGTTAAGGGCAACAAGGATTAGAAAATTTCCAACAAATGTTGCGATGGAGAGGAAAATGTTAACTGCTGAGAAAGTAATCGATTGTTGTTGTGACCCAACTACCGAGGAGGGGGAACATGGCAACACCTGATATATTTCCATCTGTTTTCCACCCTCTGTTGAAATTGTAGCTGTAATCATTGTGCAGCTCTTAAAACGGTTTCCCTTCTTTCGCTACGATTTTCTGGAACTGCTGGGAACACCTTTCTTGGAATTTGGAGAGTATGCCTTGCATAAATCAACCCCATAAAAGGTGTCTCTCTGGCTGATAAATTTTGAAACTTTCAAAGCTGAAGACATCTGTTAGTTTGTTATTTTTTGATAAATTAATTCATGAAAGACTTTAATTTTGAATAGCAGACATCCCGCAACAAAATTTAAACATTTGAAAATTTGAAAATTTGCGAGCGAAACAATGGCCGGCGTTTTTAATGTAGGTTTTCTTTCGCCACCGCAGCTGAAAAACAGCTCAAACAACGAAAACACTGTAAAAAGCACTTCTGTTTGGTTGTCGGTTTAGAAAAGTGGTGTTTAGAGAAGGGAATTGCTAAGGAAATCGAAAAATTACGAGCCGACCCAGCCAAACACTTTACTCGAGCGATCCAACGCCGAAATTAAAAGCAAACATAGTTAAACCTCGGAAACGACGATTCCATTTCATCGAAAGTGATTCGCGCACCGACTTTTTAGCCGAACTTTGAACTTTTTTTGCACCTGAAAGATGTGAAGATATCATTGCATATTATTGTTTTGATCGTACGCAGTTGTTTTGACCGAACGCACGGTTTGAATAAATTATCTTTACACTTGATGTGCGCGCTTTGCTTATACTTAATTATGATAAGCCATCTCGTATTTTTCCATGTATATTATTAACACGAAATCTCATGATTTTTTACGTGCAATTTGGAATAAACAAGCACTTGTTAATTTTTTCAAAGACCACAAATTGCATTTGTAAATTTTGTTAGTCTTATGTGTTCGATTTCGATTTCGTGTGCGTTGAAAACCTCGAAATGAACAACTCGCTCAAATGGGCTCTTTTCATCAAAGTAAGCGGTCAGATAACAAGCACTACGCTGTGGAAGCGAGGTGAGGTATTTTTTTTGAGAATTTGACGTATTTTTTTATTCTTTAGAGCGCTCGTAAATATTCCCATACAAACTCTTATAATTCCGCCATGACCGTTATTGCGTAAGATGATCATCTCACAGCTGGAGCTTGGGCCGCCTGTGGTTGAACGAACTGTCCGTCGAGGCGATAACATACTTATACACATACACCTATCTTGAAATTTTGAGGGTATGATTTGCATCAATAAACCCTATGTCTCTGTGGCTGATAAATTTCATTCAAGAACGCACTTTAAATAAGAGCTGAAAAAAAATTCAAGGATAAAGACATCTGTTAATTTATGATTTTTTAAAAAAACCTCTCTATGGATGAAAAAAAAAAAAAAATAGGAATTGGCCCGAAACAGTATAACCCTAAATCGATTTTAAGGATACTTGTCGATCCGCAAAATGACGTTCCCGCTGAAAAATCGCGTTCAAAATAACATTTCGAAAGTCTGTTATCTTCAGCCAAATGAGAAACTACAAAAGTGAATCAATTGCAAGTATCCAGAGCACAATCCTTGTTTTCGAACTTACCCGAAACATCTATTGACTAATCGCCTAGCAGCTGTTCAGTTACCTCCTCTTTGTAAAACTATAGAGAAGATGGCAGAAGGAAGTAATAAAAACGAAAATTATCTATTTCCTTCCTCCTTCCTTCCTTCCTTTCTGTCCTTTCAGTCGAACATCCGTCATCAGGCTGATGTTTTACTAATGAAACTGTCAGTCATTTAGAGACGGACTTACTTTTTTGCCTAAAAGGCACAAATTCTCTCCATCCGCAAAATTAAAACTGCCGCACAATGTTCATGCCGCACGAAAAACAATATTGAAATAAATTGAAAACAGTTATAATTCCGAACACATTTAATTGACTACTGAAAATTAATCAATAACCGTAGATGTCGAGAAATTTTTGAAAAATATTTAACGTTTCGTTTCGTTATTTGAAAACATACTTCAGGTGTTTTCTCAGTTCGTGTTGTATCTGATCAGAATTTATAAAAGGAACTATGACAGGTGCAAAATGTTACTTATCTAAACCATCAGACCCTTAGAAAGCCAATTTTTGTATTCATCCTCATTTCATTTCTCTCAGTCTTATTTGAACGGCAACTGGTTGAAATCTTAAATTCATTTTTCACATTGTCTTCGTGTTTTAAAGTTAAAGTTACCCGATCATGAACGCTGAGAAGCCAAAACGGATTGATTTATGGTTATGAATTGCAAAAATGGATCGAAAAGTTTGATTCATTAAAGCCTTTAATACTGAATAGCGGACATGCCCACTGAAATACCAAAATATTGGAATATTCAAGATTTTTACTTTACATTTTTTTTTAATATGTGTTTTTCTGTTTTTGAGACTCTCAGAAAGGACCATTCATTGCGGTCACAATTATTTGGAATGAAATTTTAATCCGAAATTTAAATTAGAATTATTTGACGTAAGGTCTGTTTTTATTTTATTTTAGACCTTGTTAGCAAGCACATTTTGTTTCCCAATTCGGACCTCGTGACAGCACTCTGGAAAGACATTACTTTCAAATTCGCGAATATCTTCTCTTTTTCGTTTTGTCCTTTTATGTTATATTTCCTCATTTCCGTTTTACTTCCAGTGTAATTAAATTAAGTTAGTAAAAAAGAAAAATAAATAAATAAACAAATCTGACCCTTCTTGATTAGCATTTGCTATCCGCGGGTCAAAGGAATATCTTGTAATATGAAGAAAATGAAAAATAAAAGTGGAAGTGTGAGTGTAAAACAAAAAGCAATTATGTTCTCTTGATCTTGAAATGCATGCAACAAACCCGAACTGCGAATAAGGTATTGCAAGGGTCTGCATCAAATTACATACTTAGTAATATAACTTACATTTAATAGGCGTCAATGAAGAGAAGCTGCTGACCAGCACATCGTCATACATCGCCGGCTCAGATTGCCTACCACAAAACAGACGCTTAATAAAAGTTTGGAGCATGTCATCAACGACTTAACTCAATTACAAGCACGGTAATTGCATGATCAGTCTCTCAGCGGTTTATTGATCGAGTTAAGTTGAGGAAAATAATTTCCAGTCCAAAGTGAGCTGATGCTTGGCTGGAAGTTCAAATGGATGGACTCGATTGGTACCTAATCATTAGGATTTTTTGGAAAAAAAAAAAACCACAACTGATTACAAACTAGCACGCTATCGTTGATGTTATTGTTGGTGTTAATGTCGTCAGTAGTGTTGCACAATTTTAGAACAGATTGAGTGATTTGGCTGTGTCACTTGTTTATCCAAAACAAAAGTATCACTATCACGAGTGTTACTGAAATTTTGCACATCAATGTTACTCAGTGTCAATTAAATTTAACAATTAAAGTATTTTAGGTTAATTTTTTTAAGAATCACGATTTATAAAATTTTTTAATCTGATATATAGAGAATGATAAATGGGCGCGCATAGATATGGAATTTCTCTTTGAGTGTTTAACACGATAGCTCGATAAATTGTTGGAAGTTTGTGCTGAGCCGAGATAAAATGTTGCATATTTCCGATCATGGCGGTAGCGTCAAACTAGGTGTCACAAAAAAAAATTGCAACGAAAAAAACGGTTTAAAAAAAAAAAAAAAAAAAAAAAAAAAATTATGTGCTTCTTTCTCATAAAGGGTTAATCTAAATATGCGAAGCGAAACAAAATCCTCGAACTAGAATTTTGTGAAAAGCTGAGCTCGGCAATATTTACTATATTTGATATTCGGTGTTGTTAAAAACTAGCTATTGAATGCTGCAGCAATTTTCACTCAGGAAAAAAAATGTTTTGCTATATCTGCAAATACTGCCCGAGGCCGTAGGCCGATTACATTTTCAAGACCGAGGTCACGGTTTTTCACCATACGGACTGACCCTTAGCCGGTAAATAACATATTTATTGTTTTTAAACTTGACGAAATTCTTTCCGAAAGAACCCGAATGATTTAGGGCTGTAAATACGCAAAGATCTTCCATAAACTGAACAATTTTTGAGCGAGTAAATGGTAGTTAAAATAGAGGTGAAGCAAATTAAAGAGAGATGCCTCGGCGAAACATTTTCTTTTCCGTAACGATGAAGGCGATTTAAAAGGCTTCCAAACAAACTTTGAAACATTATTTTTACAAGTATCTGTCACAATCTGACACCTGTCAATTAGAGAGCGCGTAAGAAAAAAAAAAGCATAAGAGCATTTGAAAAACAACGGAACTAGTTTGGCAAGGACTGTCACGACAATGTTTTCTTCAAAATCAGTCAATGATCTAACGGAAAGTATTATTCACTCTCATCGACGATTCATTCATGTACGAAGATTTACCTCTGTTCATTAAGTAAACGGCGAGGAAAGTAATTGTGAGTAAATTCAATTTTTTTTGTTTTGAAGTTGTGAGAGTTTGCTCGTTTGTTTGCTGCAATAGCGTGTGTAAATCTGGTCTTTCCTTCACAAAAACTAAATTCGAACGGCACACTCCAACGAGACACAAGGGAATTTAATGCGGCCTTTTCCCAAAAAATTCCTTCAGTTTCTGTTGTGTAATTTACGGTACAAATGTCCAAATTGAACGGAATTGGAAAGACTCACCGGGAGCCTATATTTGTTGTAGGACTTAAATTAAAACTTTGCTCGCTCTTTCTCTACAAACAATTTTCTCGAGAAAATTCAGATATTAAATGAATGAAAGTTCCATCGTTCAGTTTAACTGTAGCCAAATACCTCACGTTTTAACTTTCTGGGTACTTTTTGTGAACGATTAAAATTAATTGCAGACAGTTTTTAGGCCGCTTGTCAACCAACGTAATGACACTATTGTTTATACAAATTCATTCTGAAACCAATATTTTTCTGTCAACCAAAGTGATTTGAGAGAGAGAAAAGAGAGGATTCATAAGTTATTTATCGGCTTGAGGTAGTGACCGACTTGTTTGCTTTAAAATACTGCCCAGCCGGAAAACGAGGTATATTTATGAAAAATGACAACGAAAGTTGGGATGTACTCGGCGATTCACGAAAGCGTTACCGTGGCCCGTGGGCAGAGATAGGAAAATACTGACCGGGTAAAGAACCAATCAGATTGCAGGATTCGTTACCGTGCCCTCTAAAAAAGCAATAAAAACTAGTTATTGAATGCGGCAGCAATTTTCACTAAGGAAAAAAATATTTTGCTATATCTGCATAAACCAAGGTGGATTCGATTACTTTTAAACTAAGGTAGATACCTGGGCAAAGTTTGAAAGAAATCGATTTTTTGACCCGAAACGCACCGGACCGCTTTTAGAGAGACTGCGTCTTAATTGGCCTAAAAATGACTGGTTTTTATTCCCATCATGCATACGGAGAGTTATTTCATAAGATAACAAGCAATTCCTACGAGTATTATGCCGTTGCAGCAATAAATAAAGCTTTTCCTTCCTACTGTTTCTATCCTGATGTTAAGGCTGTCAGAAGTTCAAATGTCATTGTAAAACTTCAATTTCTGTAACGATATAGCAGGTAATTTAGTGTTAACAACTGGGTTGAAAACGTAAATTAGCCACTGTAAAGGGTAAAAAAGCTGACGTTTCGAGCGTTAGCCCTTCGTCGGAGCGATTGACGAACTGAATTATCTAGAACTATTCTTTTTCTTAGTTTCCACTAGACGTCATTTGATGAAACGTGCTGTGACTACCTGAAACTCAATGATGAGGCGGAATTTTGCTTTTCATACCTACGTAAAGTAAAATAACTTACTGAATTAAAGCAATAGCAATATTAGACACGAAAGGAAAAAAAAAACTTTTGTCGCGTTTTAAACTTTACTGTGATGTCGTGCGCATGAAAATAGAAACTTGTCATAATGATGGTCTTCACCACCACTACTAAAATTCAGTTTTACCTGGTCGTACGATTGAAAGAAACAACGCAAATATCTTTCCAGAGGCTGTCTTTCACAGTATAGACACGAAAAAAAAAAAAGGGCTACGTTCACTCGCTCACGTAAATCGGTTCCCGGCGGAGACAAAATATTTTTTCCTCTTTTTATTCAAATTTATTTGCAGTTACGCGTGATGTGTTATGTACTAAAATTTACTTATTTCGACTACGCATTTTATACAAAATACTTTTTTTAACTACAAAAATAAAATTTAACCGCTTGTGAAATGAAGTTCGTAGAAAATCGTTTGGAAAGCTTCTACAGAAAATTTTGCATAGCTTGAATAAAGCGATGGTGACATAATCTTGGCTGGTTTTTTACTGACCTTGATTTATGGAAATTACTTAACGCTCGTGATTTTATGACCTTTTATTCGTATGTTTTGACAACGGAAATTTGTCAACATTGGAAGTGAACCACCATGATGCTAGGAAAATTACTAAGAGGAATTTTTAAAAACGGATCTGCTCAATTGTGTAAGGCTTTAAAGCATCAACATTAACATCTGACCTCAGTCGAGTTTGACATTCAGAAGAGTAACTACGACTTGTACAATGGCAGTTTTGGTGAAAACTTGTTGCTGCGGGTGCAGTCTACGAACAGGTGTTATGATTCTCGGAATCTTCGGCCTAGTAAGTTTTAACAAAGATTAATTACATAAAACTCTGAATTATCCCTCTGCTTTCATACCTTAGTGAACAACCTGATTTCAAGATTTTCGGCGCGATTTTGAAGAAACTGCTAACTTTTAGTTCCGCAGAAAATAACTAAAGCGAAGATTAACTGCGCGAAAGTTCGTTCCATCTCTTAAAAAATTTCTGTAGGTTTTAGTGCATAGTTTCTGTCTGTTCAAAAACGATCCTGGTGTTGCTAACCGTACAAGTTATATTTTCAGTGCCAAGGCATTTGCGTATTCTGGCATTTCAGAACGAGCAACTGTAAGCTTCTTAACGTTTACTAAGTCAAAAAATAATAATTCAAGCAGTTTGGTTTGCTTAGACTGTGTTCTGTGGTTTTTTAATTCTTTTCTTTTCTGTTTTTAAATTACATGTTGCATTTGCAAGTGAACAAAAGATCCTCGGGAGTGTCTGAGGGAAGAAGAATTAGTTTAATATGTCAAGTAGTTCAATTTATTTTAAACCTGATTCCTAATTCCTTCCGTATTTATATTACAGATTGTATCAGCATATTCAATTTATCAACAAAGTCATAACATTAAAGTTTACAAGCATCTGGAAAAAAACGCCGATGAATTCAGCCAAAATTCGCCTTTCAGCAAAAAGATTTTTCTAGGTATTACATCTTACTTTTGTCTTGTTTCGTAAATATTCTAGGAAGAACACATGTTTAGGATGAAATTGTCTGCTGTTGAAAGATTATTCAATGTGTAATATACATTTTACCATTGCGATCTTGCTGCGATCTTCCGTGAAATTAGCACCGTAAAAGTGACGTTCAACCCGCGTTTTATGGAAATGTTCAGCATACTCTATAGGAGATGTACCTTCCCGGCCTCGCTTTTGTCTCATCAAATCTTTCAAAAAGCTCAATCGAGCTTGCAGGAGAGCAAGTCTGACAGGTTTGAGAATAGTCTCAGTTTGGCACTCCTGATTAAATTCGTGCCATGCACGGCTAAGAAAGGTTGAGGGGTTTTTTAGTTATTTCCCAACACTAAAGACTTTTTTACCCACGGTGGATTCGAAGGAAATAAAAAGTTCTCTAAAGTAGAGAATGACTTTGGATGTTCGTTCGTTAAAATAATCCATTGACAATGATTCCGGAGACAAAACATTTGATTTGACGAAGGGACTGTACTACTAAGTGCTATTCTGCACGAACCAATACAACAGGGTGAATGTATTTGTATCCACAAGCAGCCATTGAACATCCTCTATCTTCCATCTTCCATGCATTGATTGATTGATTGATTGATTTTTCTTGTCTAACGCTCATCTCTTTAGTGATCATCACACTGGGTTACGTTAACCTCGCATTCAAAGTGATCTCACTGTTGGTGAACCTGTTACTTCTGGGATCAAGTTGCTCAGTAAGTCCAACATTACAATTGTCCTGTAACAAGAACACAAATTAAGTATATAACTGAAAATTATTAGAGAAGATTTGAGATTGTGACAAAACTTTGTCTTAGTGGGTCATAATAATTCATCTTTTAGAAATGTGAAAACTAGCTGTAAGATTTTGCGACGGAGCTAGCTTTTCGACGCCAGCCAGAATTAACATTGGTTTTGTTTCATTTAACTGTTCCTGTTTTCTTTGATTTTTTTTTCATTGATTAGGCATTACTTATCAATAGTTCAGTCTGGCCTAGTTAATATCAGTTACGGTGTTATCATCTTCATAATTCGGGGCTCGGGGAATAATTGTTAATTGGTATCTACCACACTATTACAAAAAAAAAAAAAAGTTTATGTTTTTCAAAGTGCCGAAAAATAGTTGTTGTTCTTTTCCGTCGCAGGGTGACGCGCGCTTGGCATTTCCTTGGCTTGGGTGGAGTATGTTCGTGCTCTTCTTCAATTTTGGATTGATCGCATTTTTTATTATCGTCATCAGAGGGGTAAATTGAAACAAAAATTTGTATTGAGTGTCAGACGAAAATTTTCGACGGACTTATTACTGAACATGATTTATGATTTATGCCATAGTTTGCATTCTTCTTGCTTCTCTACGGCATTGAATGGCTGCTGTCGGTAAGTTTTGTTGCACTCCTAGAGCAATTTTCAATTGAGTATTGCTAGTAATTCGAGATTGCATAGTTGTTGATTAGCTTTGTTCCATGATCGGTTCAGAAAAACCACGCCATCCTATTTTTCATTTCCTCCTCAAGATCTACTTCATCGTGGTGGTGTATTCGTACATCGAAGACCTTGGTCGAGATCCAATTCCACCTGGAAACATTGAACAGGCGGAACCACCCCTTGGAATGTCCACTGCTCAATTTCCATTAAATGTAATTTATCCATCGGGAACAAGTTCCACTTTTTCTTCCTCCTTTGACAGGCGGCAACCAAAGTCAAGTGGTAATTACATTTCCGTTGTTTCAATGCTCCGTAAACTGCGAAACCAAATTCGCCAAATTTTACTTGGTAAAAATTAGCTCTGATAGCATCTGCTAACGAACCAGCTTTTCATCTATGGTGGTCGCTTTTCTTCAGCTATAATGTTGTGACCCTCGAGAAGTGCCTCAAAATTTTTTTGACTATGTAATATGACCTCAGTATTCTGATTTTGTAACAGTAAAAAAACTGAAAGCTTATCTCAGCTCTATGCCTTAAGACGGCGTTTCTATCTAGTCGAATCCATGCAAGCAGAGGGTACCAATTTAGATTTTTTTAATCCCTGGCCAAGTATTCCCTTCTCTGCAAAGTATTTGTGGTCTCTGGGGTTCACAGGTTCAAATGATTACTCTGCTGGTCAGTTTATTGGATTTCCTCGCTCATTAGTGCTCAGTCACAATTTCGCGAGATTTGAGCTGGCGAGCGATGCGAACGTGCGAGAGGTCTAAGAAGGCATCAAACAACCTATGAAGTCATCAATTGCCAATTACCTGCGCAAAAGTACCAAGAAAACACATGAAATAACCGCTGTCACGCAAAATATGCGAAACGTTCACAGAGATTTGCAAAAGGCATTCAAATAGGCAAAAGGAAAATCAAGATTTTTAAATATTTCTTACCTTTTTACTTTCTATTTATACCAGAATATGATAAAAGGAGCCAAAGTGTATCAATTTATTGAAGTCCAATTTTCCATCATACCGCAGGTTGGAAATCGACCCACCCTGGTTTTGGAGGGGGGTCAGCAGATGCCGGTGGGAGCTCAGGAGGTTGTGGAGGTGATGGAGGTGGTAACTGACTCTCATGAAGGACCAACTAATTCGAATTAAGGAAAAACATTTTTTTTTCGGATGACAGACTCGGATTTAGGGGACGGTCATTGTCTATCGCCTCTGAGTGTGTGCGTGTGTGCGTGTGTGCGTGTGTGCATGGGTGCGTGGGTGCGGGAGCGCGTAGGTGTGTGTGAGAGGACGGTGGGTAAAGGAGGTATTGAAGGATTTTGGTCGTGTCACAATGAAATTTACCTGATTCCCTCCTCTACGGCTCAGTATTGTTCTAATGATCCCTCATTGGTAGTCAGTTCCGTGTAGTTGCCCCGTTACACTGTATTGGGAAGACATTACCCCCCCTCCCATCCGTTGCCCCTGAAAACCATTTGGCCGCGCCAAAATCCTCCCAACTAAACCCCCACCCCGGCTACAAATAATGGCGGGAATTTATATTCGTAGGAGTTGATATTGAAATGTTATTTGAAACATTTTTACTTAATACTATATACATCGTCACGTTCATTTTCAAAATTATTTTGGTATTGTTCAGCTTATAATTAGTAGTATAATAGGAATTCTATTGAGGATTTTGATCGCCCATACTAGAATTCAAGTTAACGTGAAGTGATTCGAAGAACTAGTTTCAGAGTTGAAGCTTAAAAAGATAATGTAGGTGTATATTTTAAATGTAAAATGGCCGATATTTTTTTTTTTTAAATAAACAAAACTGTATTGGAAACAAAACAAAATAACATGTAAACATTGGTTTACGACAGTCAATAAAAAATAATAAAGTAACAAAATGTGTTTTATAACCATTAGACGTAGTTCATACAAAAAGAAAAAATAAGAAAAAGCATGCATCAAAGTAAAGGCCTGTCAGTTGCCACATATATTTAATAAGATTTGCCACCATTTCAATACGGTACTGTTCGAATAACTTGCTGATGAATGGCCGATATGGTTTAGGTTAATTAACTGTTGTGAATAATAAAATCGATCAAAAATGGAGTATTTCAAAGTATATCGAGGAACAATTTTGATTAATAAAATGAAAACGATACCGGCCATTCACATCAAAATAAAAATATATTCAAGATGCGTTTTTTTTTTTTTTTTGTTGCCACTTTTTGACGTGAAAGTTTAAGCCGGCTGAAATTCCGACAAAAAATAGTAGTTGTAGCACAAGGAAATGTTACTTTACAATGTTTTGGTTCAGTACCTTAACTTTAACGCAATAGAATGGTACTAGCCAGTTGCAATTGAGAAGTTTTCCTCTGAATTCTCAGTGTATTTTTGATTCTCTCTTCCTATTTCTTTTCTTACGGGCGAATGATCGATATAAAAAGACATCTTCATAGAGAAAAAACAAAATTGAATAACCTCCCCCGCTAATATTGAAGCTTTTAATTGATAAGACTTTCAAGTTACGTGGTCAGGAAACCCAGACAATATTGTAAATTAAAACGTACTGTTTGGCTAACATAGTTTATTTTCATGACTTTATCTATTCATCTTTTCAGTATTTCGCAGCACTTCAAATTACCTTTAAAATTCTATGCAAAGATGGAACTTATCCTATGATATTTCTGCCCACTTTTCAATAGTTACAGAATTTAATGATGTCTTATTTATTATAAAGCCGTGCAACCTACGAAAAAGGTTAAAACTGCTCTCAAGCCGAGATGTTGACTCCACCAGAGCTTAAGTGCCCCAGCTTCCCTCCTATAAAGTGAATTGAAAGGCAAATAATACTAATGCAGTTCCTTCGTATTCTAATGGCAAGGTCGTTAATTGTTCCAGCACTTGTACCTGTAGTTTTATCCGGCAAACTATGAGCTCGCGCGAATCATGATTCACGGTGACTCCAGCTCAGGGAAAGATCTGACTCCATGGACTGCAAAGTACGTTTCCTATTGTCTGCTTCACTGCGTGTCTCACCTCTCTGATCCTCCAGAAGTAAAGGAACGGGTTTAAGGTAGAGTTAAGTATTGTAATTTCATCAATGAAGACAAAATGAGTTTTTCTAAGATTGATCATTAGCAACATTGTAATTTCGGGCACATAACATAGAACTAATGCTTAACTGCAGCCAAAGTGCACTATACAATGCCTCTCTGTATCGCCCCAAGTTCATTGCTTTTGCATTTGGTTGGCTGGGCTGTTGTTGAACATGGTCTTGTAGTTGAGCCTACTGATGACTGAGAGCGCGGAAAATCTCTTTGTATGAGGCCATTGAAATCACTGAGCATGATTTTAGAACTATATCACTAAACCAACGAGTTATTCGAGTATGTGAAATGGAAAATGATCCTGCGACAAAGGATAGAATCCAAAAGACAGCTGTAATGATATAGGTGCTCTTCAAAGTTACGATTTCTTTGTATTTCAGCTCCAACAACGAGACGAGAAGTCTGTCCACGCTTATGGTCATCATGCCATCAAAGAAACTCCACATAATGCATTTCTTGATATGTAGATTCCATCCCTGGCGTATCGACAAAGACTTCAATGCTCGTGAAACAAGGTCATCTAATAAGTAGCAGCAAGAGGCTGAGTAATAAGCTAAGATCAGTCGTTGCCATACAACGATACAAGAGTTTGGACGGTAGATGAAGCGAAGTTTCCCTGTTAAAGGCAACAAGCTAAGGATTAGAAAATTCCCAAGAAATGCTGGAGCGATGGTGAGGAAAATGTTAACTTCTGAAGAGAAAATGATTGTTGTTGTAACCCAACTATCAAGATGGGGAACATGGCAATATTTTATGTTTCCGTCTGTGTTCCACCCTCTGTCGAGTTTGTCGTTGTAATCATGGTGCAGCTCTTAAAACGGTTTTTCCCCCTTTAGTTACTGTTTTTTGGAACTGCTGGCAACACGGGATAATACTTCTTCACAGCAACCAACTGGTCAATAATTAGTTAAATCTTATAATTATTTATTTCATCAACGCTAAAAGCTTCTTTAAAGCATCCTACTTGTTTTATACATATGCACCTTTCTTGAAATTTGGAGGGTATGCCTTGCATAAATCAACCCTATAAAAGATGTTCGACTGGCTGATAAATTTCATTCAAGAACGCTTTTTAAATAAGAGCTTTAAAAATATAAGGATGATTACATCGGCTAGTTTATTATTCTTTCAAAAAAAAAAAAAAAAAAACGGTAAGCGGAAACGGTAAGCCTGTTATCTTCAGCCAAATGAGATACTACAAAAGTGATTCAATTGCAAGCATCCAGAGGCGTTCTTTGTTTTCAGACTTACTCGAAACATCTATCCACTATTCGTCCACCAGTTGTTTACTTCCTCTTTGTTAAACTAAAGAGAAGATGGAGGAAGGAAGTAATAAAAATACAAATTATCTAATTCCTTCCTTTCTTCTTCATATCTGTCCTTTCGATTCAGCAGAACATCCGCCCATCAAACTGATGAAACTGTTATTCATTTAGAGACGTACTTCACTTTTTGCCTGAAAAGCACAAATTTCTCCGTCCGCAAAAATAAATCTTCCGCAAAACGTTCATACCACTTCAGAAACAGTCTTGAAATAATTTCAAAATAGTTATGATTCCTAACGCATTTGACTGACAACTGAAAAATCAATCTAGGGCCGTAGATGTCGAGAAATTTTTAAAAATAACGTTTCGTTTCGTTATTTAAAAACAAACCCCAATTATTTTCTCTTCTTGTCGTATCTGATCAGAATTTATAAAAGGAACCATAACAGGTGAAAAATGTTACTTAACTTAACCATCACACCCTTAGAAAGCCATTTTGATATTTATCCATTATTCCGTTCTCCTTAATATCTCTCAGTCTCATTCGAACGGCAGCTGATTGTGATCTTAAATTCTTTTCTAACTTGTTTTGGTTTTTTTAAATTGAAATTTACTCGATCATGAACGCTGTGAAGCTAAAATTGATCGATATATGGTTATGAAATGCCAAAATGGTCGACCACTTTGATTCATTAAAGTAAAATACTAGATAGCGGATATGCCTATCAAAATGTCAAAGTATTGGAATATTCAAGAAACGTTTACTTTTATTTTTTGAAATTTGCATTTTTCTGTTTTTGAGTCACTCAGAAAAAAATTGTTTTGGGCTTTTGACTGATTGGCAATTAAGGAACATTTATTGCAGTACAATTATTTAGAATGAAATTTAATTCGAAATTTAAATGAAATTTTTTTGACTTAAGGTCTCGCTTCTTTCGCAAATATATATAAAACGAGTTAATATCCTATAATTAAAATTCTGTTTTTCTCTTTCTCCTGCAATATAATGCGGTGTGTACCGACCATTCGCTTCGAATTTTTCTTTTAATATTTTCAGTATTTGTCAATTCTATCTTATTTTTTGCCCTTCAAAGTTTCTCTCAAACAAACGATCTATCCTGAAAAGAAGGCCATCTTAGAAACCGCGGCGGTCAATTTCCCGCGTTTTTAAGACTGCATAAACAATCAAACCCTTATTTTAGTCTCCCCGTTGTACTCTGTCAGCGACGACTGACCCTCTTCCCTCAGTTCAGTATTGGAAACCATATGATTCTCCAAAATATTCGTCAGATTCTACTAGATTCTCCTAGTTCTTAGAACAAATTTTAGAATTTCACGCATCTGGAATCGGAAAGACATTTGTTTCCACAAAGCATGAATGATCTCCAATTGCATAACAAAAACTCCCATCGCAATCTTTGCATATTATACGGAAATACCTCTGAGATAGAACTCACAACCGTTAAAACCTCCAAATACATAAAATTATACAAAATTATTAGGTAGATTTAGATTCCTAGCGATTTCAAACAATATCTCATTGATGTCTTGTTATTAAAAAATAATCTACAGGCTGTTTTCTCTTCCTTTCGCTTCTGACAAGAACCTGAAGTAACTGCAACAGGTAATAAATATAAAGTAACTAAACTAACAAACCGTCCATTTAATTTTTATCTTAATTTACTTTCCTAACTTCTACAATATCTCTCATTCTCTATTTACCTCTTCTCTCTCAAGGCTGAGACATATTTCATATAAAAGAGCCCATTTCGTTCAATTCTTATCAATCGTGCGCTTAGAATCAAGAGCAGTTTAGTTCACAATACTGAGCGCGTAGTTATTATATGGTTCACTAGATCAATTTTAAAAACATGGAATGAGCAGAATACAGCCTTAGCATTTGGCATGAAAACAAGCAGCGGGTTCGAAGAGGTTCTGCCATACAGTATATCGGAGGAAAGTCAAACAGATAGCACCTCTCGGCATCTAGGTGATATTAATTATGCCTTTCAATTTTTCTTTTTACCGACGAGGTTACATTACTAAACCATGGTACTGTATTTTTATCTGATATTCATCAGCATAAATAGGCAAACACTAGAGCATCCAAAACACAATAGATGCTGACCGACTCCGAGAAAATATATCTAAGTCCATGGAAAGCAAAGTGCTTGTCGGATTGTCTGCTTTACTACTCGTCTCACTTCTCTGATTTTCCAGCAATAAAGAAACGGGTTCAAAGTGGAATTAAAATACACTAAAATTGTTGCAGTTGCATTTATAGCCACTGCATGAGAATAATAAATTTTTCTGTGAGTGATCACAAGAAGTACTATAAATTTTGGTACATAACAAACAGCTAATGCTATCTGCACCCACAGTGCAGCGTTTACTGCCTTCTTGTATCTTGCCATATTCAGCGCATTTGGTTGGCTCTGCTGTTGTCGAACATTATCATGTATTTGAGCCTGATGTTTTCTAAGAGTGCGAAATATGTTTGTGTACGAGGCGATTGAAATCACTGAGCATGAAGGTATAACTATAATACTATACAAACGGGTTATTCGAAAATGTGAAATGGAAATTGATCCAGCGGCGACGGATAAAGTCCAAAAAGTAGCTGTAATGATATACATACGCTTTAAAGTTACTATTTGTCTGTATCTTATTCCCAACAACAGAGCGAGAAGTCTGTCCACGCTTATGGCCGTTAACGTCGACAAAGACACTGAACATAATACATAGCTTGACATGTAGGCTGCGTCCCTTGCGTATCGACAAAGAC